TGCATGGACCAGTGCTATAACCACTGAGCACACCTGCCAGGGTCTTATTAATTTCTTTTTAAACATAACTTATCTTTGCTTCTCCTTAGAAGCTTCTACTTTCCAAATCAAGATAACGTTCCAATTTATTCATTCAGTTTAATTCTAGAGCCAGCATTTTTCTAACTTTTGCATGCAAAAAAATGTTTTAGGCACCCAGACAATTGCATTTTGTACCATTTAAAGTTGATATTATTTCTAGTTAAATCTTCCCATTTCTGTAAACCACTTGCCAAGTAAAGGCTTCTTATCACAAGTGTTAATGAGGGCTTGGGTCTGGGAATTTCTCCCTTTGCCAACACAACTTCCCATGTTAATTTTAGGGTTTTGTTTTGTTTTGTTTTGAGATACCTGCAGAGTCTGAGCAAATTTTTTTTTTCATTTTCTTTTTTTATTCAACAAATTTTCTAGGGATGTTATGTAGTGGGTCGAAGTGTGCTGCTTATGTGTTGAGCTTTAGTTATAGTTGAATTGGAATTTCCCTATGGTGCTGTCATGAGAAATTACCTCTGAGACCTCCATAAATATTCCTAGTTGCCTAAAAACACCTGAGCTTCGGGCTAGAGGAAGGAAGTGTCCCTTTATCCTTGGAGCTGAATGAGTTTAGCTCTCATTTATATAGCGACGGTTTTTGCTCAGACTCTCAGTAAGCAATTCCAATAGAAAAGACAAAGTTAAAACCAGAGACACATTTTTTTCCTTCTGTCTCCTGTTAGCCTGGGTTCTGTTGACCCTTAGCCTTAATTCCACCTTGAGAATTTAAAAATACAGCACAAATAAAGTCAGAACCTCTACCACAAGCAAGGGAAGGTCCTGGGATCCAAGAGACAACTCACCCAAGTTCACACTATGGATGAGAAAATGGTTGGCTTAATGAGCCTTTTGCTGGATCCCAGCACCAGGTGCAGGTTCGAGGGGTGGTCTGCATGAGCTTCTTTGGAAAACTGACGCACTATGCCAAGTAAGAAACATTCAGACCTGTGAAGAATTTTTGTGATTATTTGAGCCACCTGATAACAATTGCTGGGAAGCAAAATCTCAATGGTGTGGACGAAATGAGGCTACACACTAAACCTGACAAGCTCAGAGAAGGCTTGTGTAGGGGCTTTGCAAACTCAGAGACCTAAAATAACCACGAAGGATGGTCTGAAATTATAACTTTTTAAAACTAAAAACAGTTTATGGTGGTTAGTCATGTATTAAACTAGAATCTTCCCTGACAAAAGTCAATGTTTACCTTAACCAAGCCTGTCTTACTGTCTTTTGCATCTAAGATAACATTCCTTTTAACAGACCCCTTAGGGCACAACCAGTGCACCAGGGTGGAGACCATAAATCCTCTCATTCTTTTATCATGTTAACTAGAGGCAGAGTGCACAACATTCATGCACTTGGGAGGGAGGGATCCCTCAGTCTGGCCTGCGCCCTTTAGTAGTCCAGGAGCCCTCGGGAAATGCCCAACTGATGGCTTAGGCCGCTCCTGGTGAGCTGCAGTTGGACATCCTTAACGCTGCGGGAGAGGCTCCTGCCACCATGGCTGTGCTCACCAGCTGTCAGTCTGGCTTCTGGCTGAAGGGCACTCCCTCTGTGGGAGCACACTGACCACCAGGGGGCAGCTCCTGCACATCACCCACTGGGGTTGTGCCCGCAACCACGGTACATGCCCTTGACTGGAATCGAACCCGGGACCCTTCAGTCCGTAGGCCAACGCTCTATCCACTGAGCCAAACCGGTTAGGGCTGG